CAATGTCGAGCAAATCTGTAGGCACCTTATTAAATACTACCCAATTCTTATTTAACTCATATATGAACAAAAACCTACAAACGAGTTTAAGTGCGACTATCGAATTTGAATATATAAATAGCCTGATATTATCTGTGGGTATGTTTACATGAAAAGTACACGATAACAATTAAGAATCTGAACCTGAAAGTTATTTATACACGATTTTGGAGATCTGACGATGACTTTTTAGTCAGTGTTAGTTTCCTGAAATAATTTTAGTTAAGAACTTTTGAGTCTGGGCAAGACAATTTTTTTAAATGAGTGTATGATGAACAAGAATAATGATTTTTCACATGAAACTAATGAAGGCAAATACTAAATATATTTCGTAAAAATAGCTAACGTAAATTCCCTACAATGTTGTTGCGGCGGTGTACATTTGTAGAAATTTTGCAACCGTCGCGATATTGCCTATTCTCAAAAAATTACGTAATATAATTATTTTGAAACAGAATAGCAAAATGGGGAGAAAAAACCCGTTACTTTGCAACATTTCCGTATCTTGTTGCAACGAAATTAATTTTCTGTTTTAGTGAATATTTACATAAAAATACAAGTTGAAACGCGTTACTTCCTTGTGGAATGTGATGTTAGTATCTATTTTATATTTGTCTGATCTATTTTTAAACCCAATTACCGCACATTTCGTCATTTTTAGCAAAAATTTTTGAGCTGCTCGCGGTGCAACTTGACATTGAGCACTGACAGCCCGCTCGCTCGTGTAAGCCCATAGGGCGTCCTACAATTTGCCTCACTTAGCGTGTGCGGGCTAGGATTCTATGCGTTATTATTCTAAGATTACAGCTTTCTAATTTGTGATTTCAGTGCAAACGAGAGTTGATATTTAAAAGCGATATAAGGCCCTTGTGGCTGATGAGTTGCCAGGGATGGACGGCCTTTATTTCCTCTATTTCTGGTTATATACTCGACGTAACCTTTGTGACGTAGAAACCCGTCATTGGACGAAACCTGAAAATTACAGATTACATTACATTGTCTACAGCTTGTATTGCTCAACGGGATTAATTCCACAATCCAAGGGAGCTGACCATTACAATAGTGATGAAAGAGACTCAGTCTCTCAAGGCCTTTTAAAAAACCTCGACTAATTTTTAACGCCTCACGACTAGTCTAGTCTTTTAACCCTCAAGTTTTGAGTCATAAGACTAAAACTGAAGACTGATTCGAGTCGAAGTCTTTTAACCTTATGAAGCTTAAAAGACTTGTAGGACTAAAACGACTGGCGCCTTATAGCCTCGGGAGTCGCGAGTCATGAGCCGTATGCTTAGAATAATAACGCATAGAAACCTAGCCCGCACACGCTAAGTGAGGCAAATTGAAGCGCTCCCAAAGGGCCTACACGAGTGGGCGGGCCTTCAGTGCTCAAGTTCAACTTTGTATTTTTATATAAATATTCACTAAAACCGAAAATTAACCTACTACTATAACTAGCCTACATGAATTAGATTTTTGCCTTACTTGTGACAGTTCGTTTGATATGAAACTATCATTCTATGCGTTATTATTCTAAAGCCGTATGGCGTGATTTTATTTCTACCCACAAGATATTTATTTTACGATTGATGGATAACGTTAACGTAGTTTTGTTCACAGAAGTCGGTTAATTATAACCAATAGTTTTTTGGGAATTATTTGTTTCTTTAATATAAATATGAATAGATACAGAACCCAAGTCAAAGTAAATTTATCAAATTTTGTTGTCTGATCCTGTCGTTTGACCATAATGATGAATGAAACATGCTATTTATTTATGAACGTATTAAGTGGAGGTCCACAGTCTCTGCCTACCCCTGAATGGGTGACAGGCGAGATTTTTATGTATATATTTGTTCTATGTATTACAGATAAATTGTATCTCACTACTGTGCACGGGTTCTAAAGAAGTATAAAAAAAAGTACCAGGACTTCATAATAAGAAAAGTGGTTACAGACCAATATTACACAAAATAAAAAAGAGCGCGTTAGCTGGATTTCCGTTGACTTTTTAATATTGGTTGTATTTTTTGGTTGTGTTATTTAGAAAATATATATAGAAAAAGTATTGTGTGCAACCATTACATAATTAGGCCTTAAAATCTCGTATCTAATCTATTGCTTAAATCGCTCTTTGAATCCTAATTTTTATTATAAGTAAATAAACGTGATTATTTACTACATATTACGTCATTTTTATTTATAATCTTCAGGTTTAATACAACTAAAATAGGTATAATAAGTCCATTGCAAACAACTCGAGTCGTTTAAGTCGTTTAAGTCTTTTAGTATAACGACTGAGTCTTATTAATAAAAACACGAACCTCCAGTCTTAATTTTAGAGTCGAGTCCTGTAAAATGGAATCGAGTCGTTATAAAACGCTTTAAAAGTCTCTTTCATCGCTACATTACAACCTTACAAGGATAAGAACACATTAAAAAACAAATTTCTTACAATCTTGTTTATTTACAGCAATATGGTAAAGTGTTATGACTAATTTAGTTACCTTCTGTCGTTAATATAACAATATTATTTTTTTTACACTTAAACTATAGAGCACGTTACCCGATTACGTAAATAAAGTGGCAGTTGAAACAAGGTTCATAGTCGTGGTATCAAAAAATACTTTTATAATTTGAATCATTAAGTATAATCAAATATGCAATAATACAAATATAGAAATCAAATATATATAAGAAGTATAATTATAAATATGGTATAATTATACTTCGCACCCTTGGGGTAATAAGGCCACATCTGCGAAATTACAACTTTTGAGATGTTTAAAGATTCTACAAACGAAATTAGTCCACATCTTTGCAGAAAGTTATGTAACAAAAGCACGTTTTCACTTCTCATTTTCTAAAAGTACGCCGATATGGCCTTACATAGCGGGAATAAAGTCCATCCTTTAACCCTTACGGAGAAAAATGTAGCTAATTTTTTAATTTACTTCGAGTGACCAAACTCAAACAGCCTGTAGTGCGCTCGGTTTTAGTTCCGTGCCATTTCCGCATAGACAGTGGCGCCATATTATAATTTGAATTTATACCTCTTTCAAAAACTTTTTTCTTTGATAATATATTTGAACAAGAAGTTTATTACTGTGTTCCAGTTCTGAGGCACAAGGGGTTTATCAACTATGTCTCATGGTGTCGGGCGCAGTGGCAGTGCCCCTCATATCTCTGAGTGGCGCTGCAACTGTTATGGACAGGCGTGTAGCCGACCATCAGGCGCATGACTTGTTCGTCCCGTCACTTGATATTATAAAAAAAGTTTTTCTTCCACAAAAATCAGTAAATACGAAACACGTGAAAACGCGTATGCGAGGTTTTCACTAAGGCCACGAAATAATAATAATCACATAATTTATAATCTATGATCAATAACTTGTAGTAAAAAAACCATTAATATGTTTGAAAATCAAAAAGCTATCGCAAGTAAGGAAAACTTTTACAAGCTCTACTGAAAAGTTGCAATTTTTAATTTAGCGCATTGTTAATTGCTTGTATCGATATAGTGTGGTGACACTCTAACTTTAAGCTCTTTAATGCGAGATGTTTTTATCTTTTTATCCAGGTTATTGCATTTATCTATTTCAATTATTGATTTTCATCTAACTCAGTTTTTGACTCCACGACGTTGGCAAGCGCAGGACTACCAACCAAATGTTTCCTTCATCTTTCTTTCTCTTTGATTCTATCTACACTAGTTTTAACGACTGTCGATATAAGTAATAGGTATATCAGGTACAGCACTATTTTCGATAATCCAAGCCTCGGAGATGCGAGTTTTACAAAAGATGACGATTGCATTTTATTCTTAGCGAGAAATGACGGATCGAAGTAGTCGTAGTACTATTTATATGAGGGGTAGCGCACTAATCCGAAATCCGTCTTCCGAAGTCGAGAATGCATTCAATTCGGATCATTATTTTCACGGACAGAAATAACTACGCTAATCTCGTAAGACTATATTAATAACACCATAATACAACAACTTTTGTTCCATGGCTTTTTATAATTCATCACATTCTTCTTTCGTACAAAAAGAAAAATTTTAAATGCATTACTCTAAATGCAAAAGAAAGCACCTACTACCAAAATTATTTTTATGAATTAGCACTTAAGATACGTTGCTAAAAATATAGATGCAGTAGGGCTCCTTGTGAAAGAGTTCGTCCAGGGAAGTACTGGCACCTTACCTGTTTCTGCCGCCGAGCAGTAATGTCAGCATTACTGTGTTCCGGTCTTGAAGGGTAAGGGGTGCTGGTGAAATTACAGGCACATGAGACTTGTCAACTTGTCTCAGGGTGACGGACGCAGTGGCAGAGCCCCTCAGATCTTTGCGATTTAAAGCTCTGAGTGGCACTGCAACTGTCATGGACAGACGTGTAACTTACATCAGGCGCACGACTTGTACGTCCCGTCACTTGATATTATAAAAAATAATTACAGATATAAAAAGCATCAGACAGTACAACAAAAACTTAAAAGTTTAGTTTTGGTAAATTTATAATATTTTGTAAAAAGTCATAGAACGAATTTGTGTTTTATAATGTTAGTATAATATAGTTCCGCGAGATTATTAATATTTTTCAAACAACCCTATATATTACTTACTCTATGGGTATGTAAACACAATCAATTAAAAGTTTACACCAATGTATTTGATTTAAGGTTGCAAGTAAATTTATATGCATCTATTTCAGTAACACTCGAATTGCACTGAAGCTTGAACTGTTAAAAATTGTATTACAACCATTGACTTACAAATAAATGGACGACGGGTCTAATACAAAAACCACGAAAAAAATGTCCCAAGTCAACCTATTTAAACGTAGTGACATGAAAAGGAATATGAAAAAGCTAAAACGTTGAATTTAAATTGTGATGTCATCGCAGTACTGTCTAATTTTGCTTGCTTCGCTGTCAGTCGAACAAACGAAGACTAAAGCGTGAATGACGCTCTGTATACGATTTTAACGCCCTATAAGTTCGGACACTTTTTAGCGCGGACCCGACGTCCATATAATTGTAAGTCAATGATTACAACACTGTATCTGTATATACTATCTCACTACACTACTGTGACAAAGAACTGAAAATAACCTCTGCACTGCGTAAGAAGATATCTAAATCTTTGTTACCTTTCATCTTTTAAAAAGGAATCTTAAAAAATAAAACGTAAATCTTCATGTCATAATAATGAAATGGTGATTCGAGAATCAGCCGGATGTAGCGTCAGTGGGGACCGAGGGTCGGCTTCAAACGGCTCGGTGCGGGTTGACGATGGCGCTGGTGTCACTCGCACGGCCTGGAGTACTCTGATTAGGCAACACTTCATCTGGATCATGGCGAAACGCTTACCTGGGAGCAAATAAGCACATTTAACGTATGGATTTCTTAAGGTCATGTATTTATAGGTTTTAGATGGTGAGGTGTAGAAAGTCAAATTTAAAGGGGAACAATACTAAGGTACCCTCATTCCAACAAAATAGAATCATCAAAATCGGTTCACAAGTGGCGGAGTTATCGCGTAACATAGCACAAATAAATACAGTCGAATTGAGAACTTCCTCCTGTTTTGAAGTCGGTTAAGTCGCTTAATAAAATAATAACGTTTGTGTGCATTTTTTGTAGAGATTTTGTAACAAAGCAGAAAATTTTAAAATTGTCATAGTTTAACATTGATTAAACAGAATCTAATAAATAAAAATAAACTTTGTAATTTTTTTTTATGAAGCGTTTTTGCAATGTGAGATCGGTCCATGGACCATGTCTGTTGTGATTTATTTGGCATGATAGCTTTAGCCCTACATCTGGCGCTTCTTCAAGATCATCTGTTACGTAGAGATTCGTTCGGAGCTTGTCCTAGTCTGCTTTCATTTTTTTTAAAAGTATCTAACTAAGGGTGACGGGCGCAGTGGCAGTGCCCCTCAGATCTTTGTGATTTAAAGCTCTGAGTGGCACTGCAACTGTTATGGACAGGCGTGTAGCTTACCATCAGGCGCACGACTCGTTCGTCCCGTCTCTCGATATTGTAAAAAAACACACAGGTTTCAACACGATTCCTTAGCCGAAAAGCTCATGATAAATTTCAAATCAAATTTCGCACATAAATAATAAAAAGGTAGACAACGATAGCCTAATACGAATAGTTTGACCTACCGCCCCTCAAGCAGAGGCTGTGATATATATTATTATAGCTTAATTACTAGAGTGTTTTTATTAAAATACAATTTCCTGCTTAACTACGCGGAAGTCAAAAAGATGAAACTTTATATTCTATCCGCGTAACCAGTAATTAAACACATTCTAAATGCAAACAAGTTTAAAACACTGAGTTAAGTCTGTATAATTTGTAAAGGGCAGTATTAAACTTTACGAAATTGATCGTTTGAAGTTTAATTCCGACAAGGCCAGTTTTAAAGTGGACGTGGATCACTGCGGTATCAAATTTTAGTAATATTTTATGTCATTTATTTACATTAGTCTAGTACATAATTCAAGTAGATGACTATTTCTCAAAATAATTGTACGTAACGAAAAGGGTGTTACGAAATACTACAAAAACATTTAAGATTAAGCTTATTATACATTTGTAAAATATAATTGATTTAATGACACTTTTTATTACACAGCTTTACAGAGCTTTAACTTGCAACAATTTGAGGGGCACTGCCACTGTTCCCGTCTTCCTGAGACATAAGTTGACAAGTCCCATGTGCCTGTAATTTCACCTGCACCCTTACCCTTCAAAACCGGAACACAGTAATGCTGATATTACTGGTTGGCGGCAGAAATAGGTAAGATGACAGTACTACCCTGGACGAACTCTTTCACAAGGAACTCTACTGCTACAAAATTTTTGCATCGTCGAAGTTAGGTAGTAACTGTACCTATACACTCAGCTTTATTCCGTTATGTAACGCAATGTATAAAAACGTTACCAAATAATAGTACAAATATGATTATAACCGACTTTTTAAATGCCAATGGTTTGTTATAACAAATGTAATACACTTATTAAACTTTTGATTTACTTGTATTATGATGGGATAAATAAATCAAGACTCAGTTTATCATGAAAAAGTTATTTACTCTTAGGGTCGTATTCCAGAACTCTACTCAATACTGAAGTCCGGACTTGAGTATTGCAGTGAGCACTGAAAATCATACTCAAGTCCTTGCCATTAGGGTCGTATTTCCAGTGCTTCAAATCATACTCAAGTCTGCTCAAATCTTGACTTGAGCATTGAGTAGAGTTCTGGAATACGACTCGTAGGGTCATGCTGCAAGCATGACATGGATAAACCTACACATTCAATGAAGTTTGACAAACCCCAGGTCCTTGCAAAAGAAGTCCGTTATCTACCCAGGATGCTGCGAGAGACCATTGAAATTAAAAAACATCCTAATTTCAACAGGGAAGATGGTTTCTCCGTACCACCAGTTTGGGATCCAGTATTTCCTCTAATGAAAAAATCCCAAACAGACATAAGACTACAGTACTAATTAATATGTTTTAGTTTATTCTAATTTCTATTAAGTAATAATTAATAATAAATTAAACTTAATAAAAATGCATTCAATAAAATAATATGTAATGTAGCGTATGTTTTCTTTGTAAAATTAAAAATAAGGTATTTAATTAATAACTATTGTAACTATAGTGAAAAAATAGGGTGGTTTGCATTAATATTAGACATAACTGGTTGAAGACTGTACCGCCTCAGGCAACCGTGACCATGGGACCTGTAAAGGGCCCGAAACGTCGGTTTGTTTGAAAAAACAAATATACGCAATTTAAACCCGGAAAAATAGTTTCATTTCCTATGTGTAACAATCGCGAAAACCTAAGAACTCGATATTTTTAGTCTGTTATCTGTTGTTGTACCATATAAAATTAAATAAAATACTCGAATGATTTTATATTTTATACTTATTATTTAAGTAAGTATAACACACTGTTCTCATTATTAATAAAACTTCTTAGAAAACACTTCTTAACAAAAAGCACTTCTCAGTCTGCAGCATAAGGCGTTTAATCGCTGACGATAGATCTTCAACATCCATTATACCCTGAACTCTAACATGAGATTATAAATGTATAATTGGATATAGACCAAAGGTTTTCCAATAGTGGTTGTTGATTTAAGCAACCTGACACTCTACTGGGAATGCATGCTAACAAAAAAATACTCGAGTGTTGTGTGACGGTTGGCCTTTTGTGTATAAAATGCCAATTAGCCGAATTGCATCAAATCGAGTATATTTACTTAAATTTTAAGTATATAATCATTATAATTACCTACACGTTAATTACAAGTTATGTTTTACGTAATAGGTTAGTTAAATTACCTATTTCTGCCGCCAAGCAGTAATGTCAGCATTACTGTGTTCCGGTTTTGAAGGGTAAGGGTGCTGGTGAAATTACAGGCACGTGGGATTTGTCAACTTATGGCTCGGGGTGACGGGCGCAGTGGTAGTGCAACTGTTATGGACAGGCGTGTAGCTTACCAACACGCGCACGACTTGTTCGTCCCGTCACTTGATGTTATAAGAAAAAAATTGCGCATCCAGGTTCCGTATTATAATTCTATTAGTGAGGGTCTGTTAATTGGCTCTTTGTTGTAACCTATTATTATTTAAGTCAGTTTTAAGCTCTTGGTCCTTTTTAACCGACTTCATAAGTCCACCTTTGCTCACCTTTTCTATAATTCATTTGTCTGATGTATTTTTGGCGCAATAAAGAATAATACATATATACAAAAAAGGAGAAGGTTCTTAATACGACTGTTTTTTTTTTTGTATATGTTAGACTATTACTTAGGCATTTGTGAACCGAATTTGATGATTCTTTTTTTGTTGGGAAGAGGGTACCTCACTATTGGTCAATATTACATTAGAAGAAAATATTCCACCTTTAAGTTTACCTTCAAGTTTACCACTGTCTAGGAGTGGGTTAACTGGTAAAAAAGGTTGTAAACTGCCAATAGGGAGCAGTAATAAGTGAACTGCCTCAGTGGCTGAACGGTTGCCATGCCGGACTGCCACGCAGAGGTCCCAGGTTCGATTCCCGGGCCGGGATAAATATTCGTATGGCCTACATTAATTTATCTCGTGAGTTTGGGTGTAATTTGTGGTGTGTGTCCATGGCACCCGCGACGTTGCACGTTCACGGTAGAGTAAGTACTTTTATGTTTGTAACGTGTGGTCGGCAACGGGCAATGTCTTTTTAGCTTTTATCACTTTGACATTAAAGCTTTTTCTGACCTTCTCCGATTTGTGTAGGTATAATGACTCTAATAGTCTTCTTCATTCACAATATTTATTATTATAAAAATGTTTATTTATTTTTTCATTTAGGTATTTCTAACCTTCTAAGTTTCTAACACATAAAGTTTGTGGAAAATACATTAAAGCGAAACACACAGAGAGCGGGTGCAGGTCGGGTCCGGACCGCGGCGCGGGCGGTTCTAATTCCGTGTCTTTAAACCCGCTACAGTCCACACCAGACGCGCACCCGACCCGCACCGGCTAGGTACAGCCCGGTGGCTGTATTATTATACCATAAAATACCAAACATATTAAAAATGGATGACAAATATTTTACATTTAAAAGTAATAAAAACTTATTACTCGCCTCTAAAAGTTGCTACTTAATAGATCGAGAGCTGTTAGAAGAACAATAAATGTTCTATCACTCGTCAATCAACTATTATTACTTCTAATAGGACATTGATAATAATTGGTATTTTTTAAATAAAAGTTAATAGATATTTTTATTTTTTAACATTAGGGCTCCTTCAAATTAACACTTATAGAAGCCCTGCAATAGACCACAACTAATATTCATACAATGTGTAGAAGCACGTTGCAGCGCCACTGACATGACACTAGAGGTGGGTGGCAAATTACGTCACAATGAAAAAATCACCGTGATCAGCTGTCAATTAGTATTACCGTGACTTTTTACGAAGGAACGACCTTCTTTCCATTAACTGTCTCCGTCACCTAGACTATGGAAACCAAAGGAATTGTTAAATCAAACGTTACATGTATATGATGCATTTAGACGTTGAAAATATAACTTTTACGTTTAACTACTGCGTGTCGTCGTGAGCAAAAAGGGATAGCACTACATTGATTTATGTCAAACACGGGAATCCAAAATACGTAACGTCATCTTAATGCCAACTTTCCTCATTTTGCCATTTTTGTAGTACCCTTTGATAACCGTTTCCGGTTGTCAAAGGGAAGTACATCAAATGTCAAAACCAATGTTTGGCCAAATGTTTTAGTGAATTATTCGCATGAATTGTAATGAAATGGACAAAAATATTGACAGTGAGAACAATTAAGTA